CCACCAAGAATGCCTTACGTATCCTTGGCTCTTTATGTTTCCATATCAGTTTTACAATCAGCCTGTCAAGTTCTACAGATTTTGACTGGGATTAGATTGAATCTATAAATCAATTTGAGGAGAATTAATATCTTTACATATTACACTTCAAATCCATCATCATGATGTATATCTCCATTTATTTAGGTCTTCTTTAAAGTCTCTTAATAATGTGTTATAATTCTCCTTAAAGGGGTCTTTGCATAGTTTTTGTTAAATTCCAGCATACTTGACATTTTTTCTGCAGTTGTGCATGGTGTTTTATTTCTTTTTTTTTTTTTTTTTCAGTTTTTAGCTTTATAATGTTGGTATATGGATGTACGATTACTTTTTATGTGCTGGTATCGTATCTAGCAACCTTTATTTTTATTGATTTTTGTAATTTATCCACAGATTCATTTTCTACATGTGTAACCACAGCATTTGCAGTAGCAGCTTTGTTTTTTCTTTTCCAATCTCTATACCTTTTAATTCTTTTTCTTATTTTACTACACGAGGATAAGTTTCATTAGAAGTGGTAGCATCAGGCATTCTTGTCTTGTTCTTATCTCAAAGAGACTGCTCTCATGTTATTTGCATAGGAGTTTTATAAGTACCCTTTACCAGATTTTGGAAGTATCCTTGTAGTCTTAATTTTCTAAGGGGTTTTGTTTGCTTTTTAATCATAAGTAAATGTTGAATTTTATCAAATACTTGTCCTGCTTCTTTTTAAATGGTCATATGGTTTTTTCTTTTAATCTGTTAATGTGGCAAATTTCACAGATTAAATTTTTTAGTGTTAAAACCACCTTGCATTCCAGAGATAGACCAAACTTGCTGTTTGCATCTTTGCTCATAAATGAGAGTGACTTATAATTTTCCTTTCTTGTATCATCCTTTCCAAGTTTTAGTATCAAGGTCATGCTATCATAAAATGAGTTAGAAAGTAAGTCTTTTTTTCCTACTTGCTGGTGCAAATTTTATATAATATTGGAATTATTTATTCCTTTAATATTTGCTAGAATTTGCTTGTGAGGCCATCTGGGCCTGGGTTTTTTTTTTTTTTTTTTTTTTTGGAGGGGGGGATAATTTTTGATATAAGTAACAATTTTAGGACTATTCAAATATTTTTTTTCTTTGTGACCCAGGTTTGCCTGTCTTATCTATATTTTCTAATCTTTTAGCATAAAATTGTTCATAATACCCTCTTTTGCATTTAGCATGTATAGAATCTATAGTTTTCTCTCTCTTTTCATTCCTACCATTGTTTACTTATGTTTTATCTCATTTTTCTTGAGCTTGCTAGAGGTTTACAAGTCTTTTCAAGGAATCAATTTTTGGCTTCAGTGTTCTATTGTATGTTTGTTTTCTGTGTCATCAGTTCTGTTCTTTTAGTTTTCCTTCTGTCTGTATTTTTAAGGTTTATTTTGTTATTCTTTCTGTAACTTTTTTGAGGTAGATGTTTATTAATTCATTAATTTTAGCCTTTATTATGATTTATCTTTTGACTCGGGTTATTTAGAATATTATTTCTTAATTTCTAAGCACATGAAGATTTTCTAGTTAACTTTTTGTCATTGCTTTCTATCTTGAACTGTGGCCAGAGAATTTCTGATTTCAGACCTTCAAATTTGATTGTGGCCCAGTGTATGATAACTTGTTATGAATGGTCCATGTGTGCTTCAGAAGAAATGTGTGTTCTATGGATGTTGGGTGTAGGATTCTACAAATGTTCATTAGGCCATGTTTTTTTAATCCTGCAGTTCAAATCTTGTATATTTCATAGATTTTTGTTTTGCCTGTTTATTCTATCAGATACTGAGAGAATTGTCAAAATCTCCACTACTGTTTTGTCCTCCTGGTGAATTGAAATTTTCATCATTATAAAGTGAACATGTTTATCTCATATTTTTTGCTTTAGATTCTGTGTTGCTTAATATAGCTGTACTTTCTTTTGATCACTATTTTTGTGGTATTTATTTGCCCATCCTATTACTTTCAGTCTTAATGTATCCTTGTTTTATGTCTCTTATAACGAGCAAATTGTATTGTTTAAGTCCAGCCATATAATCTGTCTTTAAACTTGAGCATTTAGTCCATTTGCATACAATATAATTACTGATATATTTGAATTTATACCTTATTTTAGTCTTTTTGGTTTTTTTCTCTTTTTCCTCTCCTCCTCCTTTTAATCACCCTCTGCCCCCAACTAGTTTGGGAGCTATGCTCTCTGTTTCTGTTCTTTTAGTTGTCTCCCAAGAAATTATAATAGGGGTCCTCAACTCATTATTATTGAAGTCTAACAGTAATCATTACCTTCTCTTTCCTTCTAGCATAAGTGCCTTGGGACCCTGTAACTCCCATTTGTCCTCTCCTGACTCCAATGCTGCTATTGTCATGTGTTCTAGCTCTTTGTATATATATTTAAACCTCACATGACATTATTTGTTTTATGTAGTCAGTGTTTGTATAAATTTACCCACATATTTATTACTCTACTTTTCTTAGCTTTTCCGTTTTTTCTTGCATCCCAGACCTCTCTGTGATCATCTTCCTTCTGCCAGAAGTACATCTGTTGGTATTTTCTTTACTGTGGATTGGCTGGAGGTGAACTCTCAGTTTTTGGTTGTACAAATACTTACCCCCCCCCCCAACCTTGAAACACATTTTAACTGAATGTTGAACGCTTGGTTAATATTTTAGGTTAGCAGATATTTTCTTTAAGCACATGTAAGATATTCTAATGTGTTCCAGTTTCCATTATTGCTTTGAGAAGTCTCTCATCCTTGCAAGTAATCTGTGCTATTTTCTTCTTATGGCTTTGAAATTTTCTGACTTTGTTTTTCTGCAGTTTTACTATGATGTGATTAGATGTAGACTTTTTATTCATCCTGCTTGGGATACGTTGGGTTTCTTAAATCTGGAGATCAGTGTCTTTTATTATTTCTGCAAATTTTTAACTGTTAGCTCATGATATTGCTTCTACCCCTATTCTCTCTTTACCTTCTGAGGCTGTGGTTAAATGTATGTTATACATTTTTTCATTTTATCCTTCGTGGTTCTTACAGTCTTGTTTGTATTTCAACCATCTTATTCTCTCTGCTACATTCTGAATAATATGCCTGTCATCCATTTCACTAATTTTCTCTTCCACTGTTACACCTGTCAACTGATGCCCCAAAATTCTGTGTTAGGTCTGCTTTGGTTCTTTTTCAAGTACTAGTTGTGGTTGTGTTTTTGTTCTGAAACTTTTTGGGAGTACAAACATGTATAAATTTTTACCCTAATAAGTTATTTGGGAGTGAGCAAAGCTACTGTGGTCTTTCTTGGATGAACTACTCCTGTTTTCAAGATGTCACTATGTAGTTTTATCAGTTCTTAGGTGGTCCCCTTAAACTTTATTTTTATTTAAGTGCTACTGCTGTATATTCCATGATATGGAGTATTCCAGATACAGTGCCTCAAACTAATTTAACTGGTTAATTAGGAATATGAGACCTAAAGCAGAACTGTTAAGACTCAGGGCTCTCACCACGTCAGTGATGTTACCCAAATTTACTAATCACCTCTGCTGATGACAGCCATATTTTAAAGTTAGGTGGTGTTTTAGTCTGCTCAGGGAAGAGAGAAGGAGAGGAAGAGAGAAGAGAGGAGAGAGAGAGGGTATGTGAGCTGTGTGGTGTCTCTTCTTATAGGGACACTAATCCTATTGGATTAAGGCTCCAATCCTTATGACCTCATTTAACCTTAATTACTTCCTTCTTAGAGGCCCTGTCTACAAATACAGTCACACAGGAGTGTACAGCTTCAGCATGTGAATTTTGGAGGGACACAAACATTTAGTCCATAACAGGTAGTATTTACATAATGGTTTGAGGGTGTTATGGTGTATAATTACGTTACTTCTGCGGTCTCTACTGCTGCTAGTAGTGAATCACTTCCCACATATTCAATCCCACAATTATTCAGCAAGTATGTAAGGAAGAGAATTAAATTTATTCTTGCATGTGTTTCTGTACTTTACAAAGTTTATTGGTGCGGTTGTACATTTCTCAGCTAAATTCTAACCAATCTGTTATAGTTAAGTGAAAATCTTCACCCTATTTACACATTGGCTTTATTTTTCTTTATCTTAGCTGTGTTGGAGTAGAAGAACATCATGCTGTTGACATTGACCTATATCACTGTCCCAACTGTGCAGTTCTACATGGTTCCTCCTTGAGTAAGTACTAGAAGCTTAAATAAAAATTGAACTTTAGAACTTAATATGTACATGACAATCCTTTAATGATACTCTGACTAGTTATATTATACCCACCAAGAACTATAAGGAAGATTTTTCTGAAGATGTTGAGAATACAGTTTTTGTTTGAATTATTAAATAACTTATTTAACAAGTCAAAACATTAAGTGAAAAAAATACTGTCCTTCTTAATTGCCAGTGCAAAGCCCCCAAACTCAAGTACATATTTTCAAAGCTTTCAATTTACGAAGTGCAATAAAGTAAAATTTTTCTGATTCTGGCTGTTTTTATCTCTATAAATTAAAAAAAAAAAAGAATGGTAACTAGTCTTATCGTAGTGATCATTCTGAAGTGTATAGAAATATTGAATCAGTATGTTGTGTACTAGGAACTAATACAGTGTTGTTGGTCATTTATGTTTCAAAGACAAATAAACAGACTCATAGAAAAAGAGGTCAGATTTATGGTTACCAGAAGCAGGGATGGGGGAGAGGATTTGATGAAGATGGTCAAAAGGTACAAACTTCAAGTTATAAGATAAATAAGTACTAGGGATGTACAACATGATGAATATGATTAACACTGCTGTATGTTCTTTATGAAAGTTGTTAAGAAAGTGGCTCCTAAGAGTTCTCATCACAGGAAAAAATTTTTTTTCCTATTTCACTTATTGTATCTACACAAGATGATGGATGTTCACTAAAGTTACTGTGGTCATCATTTCATGATGTGTGTCAGTCAGATCATTATGCTGTATAACTTAAACTTGTTCAGGGCTGTATGTCAATTATATCTCAATAAAACTGGAAGAAGAAGAAAAAATCTTCCAGTACTGTTTGCGACAGTGAACAGTATAGGATAAGACTTTAATGCACACACGTGCCTTATACTTTTAGGAGAAAATTAGGGCACCGATATGCTAAAGTACTACTCCTGTTGTCCGAATTAGGTCATGCTGTTGCGTATGGCCTAGAGTCCTGCCCAGCTATCCTCTGTGATGGAAGCAACTTCCCCACAGTCCCCGTCCCATGGAAGGCAGAGGCCAGACCAAGTCTTTGCCTGCATTCTTCTTGAGGCGTGAGGGCATGGGCAGGGAAGCTCACGTGTCCTCTGGAGTACACCAACAACACATACAAAACGATATTATTGGCCTTTTACAGATGCTTTAGAGGAATAGATGGGAATATTAATTGTTGTACAAATACGAGAGTAGAGAAGAGATTTTAAAGCCTTTGGATTGTTAACTATTTCTTTTCTTAAAAATTGAAACTGCAGGGCTTCCCTGGTGGCGCAGTGGTTGAGAGTCCGCCTGCCGATGCAGGGGACGCGGGTTCGTGCCCCCCGTCTGGGAAGATCCCACATGCCGCGGAGCGGCTAGGCCCGTGAGCCATGGCCGTTGAGCCTGCGCGTCCGGAGCCTGTGCTCCGCAACGGGAGAGGCCCACATACTGCCAAAAAAAAAATTGAAACTGCATGCTAGCTTTTTTGTGTTCATAAAATTAAAGAGAAAAACTGTAGACTTAGTCATTGTAGAACTGAGCTTTTCCTGAACATACCTTGATACACGCTTGGGTCAGATGTAGGTAGCCTATACAACCTCTTTATTTTGAATGCAGCCTTTTTCCTAATACTTTTTTAAAATAGAAATTTTGTTCTGAGGTTATGGGAAAGTGATTTTTTTCAAAAGAGACTTAGGAGCAACTGACTGCTTATCTGTTTTGTTAGAAATATTAATAATTTATCAGTTTCCTTCTAAGAGATTTAGCAAATTAAACTATATGAATGTATTAAAATATTTTTTTGTAAAATACAGATTACCTTTTTGTTAGTTACGCAGTATAAAATTTGAGGTTAGCAAATTGGTAGAATTGTTACACGTGTAATTGACTAATTTGTCAATATAAATGTTTTTAAAGGTTCTTATTTTGTGTAGCACTGAAGTATGTAGTATATAACTTGAAGTAATTATTGACCAAGTGTAATTCTTTGAGGAAATAAATAATACTGGGTTGTTATGTCAAGAAGGGAAACAGAACTAAAATGTAAGTTTCAATTTAGAATTTAAGTAAATAACCCCAAACTGAAATAATTTGAATTTAATTTCCATGAAATGTTAAAGGGGTTACTATGAATCAGAATAATGTAGTGTTTAAAACACTGTTGCAGGGACTTCCCTGGCAGTCCAGTGGTTAAGACTTCACCTTCCAATGCAGGGGGTGTGGGTTCGATCCCTGGTCGGGGAGCTAAGATCCCACATGCCTCACAACCAAAAAACCAAAGCATAAAACAGAAGCAGTATTGTAACAAATTCAATAAAAACTTTAAAAGTGGTCCACGTTAAAAAAAAAAAAAAAAAAAAACTTAAAAAAAACACTACTAAATGTAATGCACTCTATTTTCTTTTTTCCTATATGATTTAATTTTTTTAAAAGCTTGTCATGCTCACTAAATTGATTTCACAACCCATAATGGATCATGACCTGCACTTTGAATAACAACACTTCAGAGGGAAGCTTGACTGTTACTTGCCCCTACATATGCTTCTCTTCCTTGAATAACATAAGATCAGGCATTGGCTGTCTTCTGGGCAAAAATCCAACTCTAAGTACCCTTTAGGAAAATGCCCAAGATCCAGGAATCTGTTCTATCTTGATTTAAGGCTCCACTGCTCCTCACCCCTCACCCTCGCCCCTACTTTGGGTCATACCTTTTGGTCTTAAGCCTCTTCTGTTTGCCACCAACGATTTACTGTTTCTTTGAGAGCTCCCCAGGAATCCTTACTACAGATACCATTGAGACAGTATAATATCCATAAATATGGTGAATTTAGACTTTACCTTCTTAATGGGAATTAAGAACTCTGTTCGAGGTCCAGGGTCAAAAAAAAAGAGCCTGATACTTAAACACATATTCTCAGTGCTCCTCAGGCACATGCAATCGAAACTCAAAATTCTCTCTCCATTCCCTATGACCACTATTAAAATGTTCTTTCACTGGCCTCCTCCCTTTAAGAAATTCAGTCAGCTCTTGCAACGACTGATTTTATGTGTTAAGGATGTTGGCCCAACAGGACAGTGTAGCCTTCTGTTAAAATCCTGCAGGTCACACATTTAAAAGAAAAGAAAAGTAATTGGCAGCATATTGGTTGCTCCAGGCACTATGCTAAGAAAGACTAGACCTATGTTATCTCCTTTGATATTTGTAACACCTTGATGTGAGAAAAATTATCTTACTAGGTCTTTCATGTAGCTATTTGGCAGAGCTGGAGTTTGAACCCATAGCTGTCCAATCCCAAATCTGTTTGAATTCTAATCTGTTCCGCCAAAATGAAAATTAAAACAGTGTAACATTATTGTTTATTTTCAAATAGGCAGTCTGTTCTTTCTCCCTCTTTTTCTCTTTTTCCCTCCCTCCCTCCCACTGTTGACCTGGGGCTTTTCAAATAGGCTGCTCATATATATTGGTAAGAATGTGAGTTACTTACCACTTTTCTGGAGGCAGGTTTGCAATATATAGCAAGAAACAGATTTATGTATATAAATATTAATTTCATCTTTATTTAAAGATGCATCTACATTTACATCTTAAAATTCTAGGCTGCCTTTAAACTGTTTTTGAATATTTAATAAGGAGAAAATGCCCATGATAAGAAAGGTAAGCAGGATAAACAGTATGATCCCAGTTGAAAATAAAATGGGGTTATATATCTATATATTTGTAGGGAAA